GAGACTGGGCCAGATGGGAGGACCCATCCCCATGGGCGAGGCCAACGCCTTGCTGGACGGCATCTTCTTTGCTGTGGACCCTGGTATGGCATCATATGTAGGGGAAAACATGGTGGGTGACGCCAGCTTGACAGGCAAGGCAGGAGCATTGCAAACGGCTTTGAGTGTCTCTTCTTGGCGAGAGGGAGAGTTGGGCGGTGTAAGGAAAAGGCTGATAGGGTGCTTTGGGCTCTGCCAGGAGGCTGGGCAGGCACCTTGGGTGTTGCTAGGAGGCCAATCAGGCGCCTTGGGCGACGCTAAGAGGTCTTGGGCACTACTGTGTTTGGGGGACGCCTTGAGTCTTGCTATGGGCGACGTCTCTCTGGTGTTGCTCACTAATTGACCTTGTTTCTAATTATAGGCGCCTTGTTGATAAAACGATGTTGGAGATCTCTGTACTTTTAGGGTGATGTCTCACCTCCTCTGAAGAAGGCGATGTTTGATGCCCCCAGTACTTCTTGGCGAGATTCGGTGGTGCCCCCATTTCTTCTCTAATTGTGACTCATGTGTGTATTTGAGCTAGTTGTTGTATTGTTGTAGGCAGTTTGCATGAAAGCGAAGTCAGACCTGTGGGCGTCATGAGAGAGGGCCGCATAAGCTGAGGCCGAGCTACATATAGTCTCGGGAGATGGTTAGAGATTTGCCGTGGCAGAGGTGACTACTTGCGCGAGAGCAAAGTTATAGAGGCCGAGCTACGTATAGTCTCGGAGATGGCTGTTGTAGCAGAGGTTTACTAGGTGACTTGCACGAGAGTAGAGTCATAGGCCGGGTTACGTATAGTCTTGGGAGATGGCTGCCGTAGCAGATCTTTTGCTTTGGTATGTCCCGCACTCCTCTTTGGCTTTGTACCTGGCTTTCTTTCTTTATACTTTACTTTTGGGTGCCTGCAGGTGGCTGTTGCTTTGCCCTGATTGTTTACCAGTACACTAAAGATTAGGGAGGCAATCGATGGCCAGACAGTGGAGAGGCGGGCACGTGAGGCTGCTGAAGAGCAGGTAGGGCTCGGGCGGTAGGCACGAGAGGATACCGCGGAGCAAGTAGGGCTCGGGTGGTAGGCACGAGAGGATGCCATAGAGCAAGTAAGGCCTGGGCGACAGACACAAGAGAATGTCGCGGAGTAGTAGGTAGAGCTACATATAGCTCAGAAGAAGGCTGTCATGGTGGAGACTCATTCTATTGAGATGGAGAGGAGAAGAACTCTCTCATTCCATTGAGATGGAGAGGAGGATGGCTCTCTCATTCCATTGAGATGGAGATGAGGAGGGCTCTAGGGAGCTGGGCGCCTGAGGTCGGGCGTCTGGTGAAACGGTGTGAGACCCATCATTTTGGGCGCTTGCTGTTGGGCACCTGGTGAGAGGGTGTGAAACCCATCTTCTGGGCGCCTGGTGAAAGGGGGTGAGACCCATTGTTGCTTGGTGGAGAGGGCGAGACCACTCGTCTGGGCATATTTTGCTGGACTCCTGATGAGAGGGCCCCTGTTGATTTTTCTGGCTTTGTCCCCTACGAGGCACCAGTAATAGTTGGTGACGAGGAGAGCCTTGATTATATTGGTTGTGCTCCGGGAGTAGTGACTGATCGTTGGGAGTATGATGACTGATCGTTGGGAGTATGATGATTATTGTCCTTTTGTCTACACCTTGTTGTTAAGTCATGTTCTGACTTTTATAACCTTTTTGTAAGTTTCAGAAAAGCAAGATAATTCGGACACAATAATATTCGCAGAATCTCGTAAAATAATAAATAACAGCATAAATAAATTTAAAACAACAAAGGATAGATGAGAGTCACTGGCTTTCATGATCGCCATATTGACTCTCTCCTTCACCTTCATCCTCATGTGCAGGCATGTGTGGAGGGAGAACACGTGAGCTCTCCGCGCGCTGAGAAGGGACTCTGGGCAAAGGGCGCCCGGGTGTGACCTTGGGGCGTTCTGGCTATCTGGTGCCCAGAAGGGACAGATAGTGGCTCTTCTCCTGTTGGAGGGAGTGAGACTTTTTTTATAGGATGAGGGGCGACGCCTCCTTGAGCAAGCATCAATTGAATGATCTGCTGATTTTGATTTACCGGCAATAACATGGTTTTGAGGAGCTGTTGTCCGACAACGGGGGTCGTCGTAGCAGATGGTTTCGAGGGCGCGAGGGGAGGTTGGGTCTCCTCCTGGTGAGCCGGGTTGTTGTCTCCCGGTTGCTGAGACATCGATCTGGTAGTAATTGCCATGGATTGAAAAAGAATAGGAAAACTAGTCGTTTTTACAGACTACGCCAAACTGATGATACACAAAACTGTCTTCGTGCAAGATCAACAGTTAAGTATTTGTAAGGGTGTGATTAATGAGCAATTAATGAGAAATCAAACGACAATCAATGGATAAAAACAGTAAATAAGCAACAAACACAAAGATTTATAGTGGTTCGATCCGGGTGACCTACGTCCACTCTCGGAAATGGCAGCGGCGACCTGTGTTATTTATTGATGTTGATGAATGATAGTACTCCGGAGAAATACAGTGCTTTTAGGGAGATAAAGAGAAAACAATTAGTGTAAGGTTCGGAGGCGTTGGAGGCGTAGAGGTCTCAAGGAGGTGAGAGCATGCCCTCTATATGGAGAGGGCTTACATTATATAGGTGTGATGAGGCGGTGAGACGGTGACGTGAGGATGAAGACTTCTACTATTTTAGTAAGTACAGCTATGATAGGAAATTTCCGTGTCTATCCCGATATTTACTCCCTCGTGCTCCTATTCTTTCGGAGGAGGACTCTCAGCTAGATTGGACTTGATCCTCGTCTTGATCCTGGACCTGTCTTGAGTTGGTGTGACTTGAACTTGGATTGGAGCTCTACGGTGAAGAGGAGCAAAGAGGGAGGCGCCCAAGGGCTGCCATGTCTCTTGGGCGTTGGCCTTGGGGATTTGGGCGTTGACCTCTTGATGTCTTCATTTCTAATGGGTCGATTCAGTTTCGATTTAGACTTTCCTTCGAGCTTTCTCGAATTGTTTTCATTGGGCCTAGTCCAGTAAAATTCGGACTCATCAACTATTATAAAAAATACTTATGACAATTTATTATTATGATGTATCTCATGTACATAACCAAATGCTTCCTTTTTCTAAAAAAAAATCATAAAAATTAATTATTATGGACGAGAATTGTGACAAGGACAAAGACAGAGATCAAAATTTACTCGCGAGGTGGAAACAAAAATTAAAATTTCTTCCATTAATAAGAGTGAATTAAGATAGACAAATATTTTTAAAATAAATATTGAGATAAAGACTAGTCTTTCACCTCCGTCTCAATCCAATGTCATTCCTAATCAAAACTTTTTAATAGACTTCCAATTGACTGCAATAAAGATTTACGCGGTTATAGTGTACACTGAATGATAACAATGATACAATCACACGACGCAAAGTTGAAAAAGACCACGCAACCTTTTCCCACGCTTGGGTGGTTTCTCGTCTTGGGACACTGTAGGCTAACCAACGCGTGAGCCTGGGAGAATTCGTGTGGGTCCCGGGGGTAATCCTGACGGTGTGAACTGATTGACCAGCGACTATAACACTAGTAAAGTTAGGGAGAATTACGACCACCTTCCCTAAAATTTATCACTTAATCACTTAGATCTTTTGATATTTAAAATATTATATACAAAATTTCTAAAGTTTGTATACGCATAATACTTAAACCTCTGCTGTAAATATATTCATTAATAAATTACACTCAAATCCCTTAAAGCTTGTAAACATATATTACTTAGATCCCTTAAGTTTAAAATGTTATAATTAGACTAAAAATATTTCAATCAAAAATAGAATATCAAATATTTTAAATTTTATAATTAAAATTCATGTTATATTGTATCATTCACTAAAATAAAATCAAAAATAAAAATTTAATTTTTTTCTTAAAAATTGTAATTAGTATACAATTATATTGTTTGTTAGAATTTAATTTAGTTATTTAAACGACCAAATTAAAAAATCAAACTACCCCAATTAAAGGTAAAATATATTATGTCCATTACAGTTTGAACTCTTGTTTAATTTTGTAGTTTTATTCTAATTGTATACGAATTTTTTAGTATAATTGTATACGAATTGTAATTTTTTTTTTTTTTTAAAAAACTAGATTTTTATTTTTAATTTTATTTCAATAAATGACATAGTAGAACATGAATTTTGGTTGTAAAATTCATATTCTATTATGAACGACTTAAATCTCTTGTTTGATTTTTTAATTTTATACCAATACATAGTGTAATTAGATACTAATTACAATTTTTTTAAAAAAAATTAAATTTTTAGTTTTGATTTTATTTCAATAAATGATATAATAGAACATGAATTTTAGTTGTGAAATTTAAAATATTTGATATGCTATATTTGATTGTAGTATTTTTGGTCTAAATATAATATTTTTAATTTAAGGGGTCTAAGTATTATATGCCTACAAATTTTAGGAGGTCTAGGTATAATTTATTAATAGATATATTTACAACAGAGGTTTAAATGTTACGCGCCTACAAATTTTAAGGAGTCTATGTGTAATATTTCAAATATCAAAAATTTTAAGTAATTAAGTGACAAACCTTAAGAAGTCTGAATGTAATTCTCCCTAAATAATATGAGCAACTTAAGCTCGACACAGTTTTGGCTCACTAAGATTTCTAAGCTCCTATTATAGACAAGCCGAATTTAAGCCACATATAGCTCAACTTGAATAAGTTTATGTTTCTAGATAGTCCTTATTTTATGGTCAAAGATCAATTATTTAAAAAGATCAACAATCTAAACTTATCCCCAAATAATTTGAAATCATATACAATTCCATATCCCTCTCGTCCCTTGTAGGTTTTTGAAAAATTTACACTCCTAGACTTTGATTTGATTAAGTTCCAGGGTTGGATATTTGTAAACTATGGTGACACATTTTGCTCCGTTTCGGCTCGAATGCTCCTAAACTTCACTCTGAGTCGAGCTTGAGCAAACTCGATCTCGACAAGTTCAGCTGGATTAAAATCCCTATGCAAAGTAACTTAATGAAGCATGAAAATATGCCGATGAGATACGAAGAGTACTGATCGGGAGTGTAGACTCTGTTCAGCCAAGGATTGACATAATAATTCTGCAGAAAGTCACTGCTACCAGCACCCAATACATACAATGCATCCTTGAGTATGGAAACCGCTTTTTCACTACCCGCAACGTTTGCTAGCTTAGCTTGGTACTCTTTGTATACCGCAGCTGTTGTGATAATGGAATTGCATGCTGCAACAAATTTCAATTACAGTTATGGAAAAAAGAAAATTATAGTTACAAATTCAGCTTGTAAGTGAGATGCTTTGAAAAAAAAAGAAAAGAGAAATAAGTAGCAAACTTCGTTCGATTCGTGACAGGGAACGATTTGGAGTAAGAATTATAGGTGAGATTTAATGTTTTATTTGCCTTCTCCTATGTCTTTCTTGGCAGATAAGATAGAGTTCTTACATTCAAGATGGCTGTTTTGTCATCGTAGCCTGATGCAGCAGAAGCAAAGTTGGCTCCAATGAGAAGGTTCTTCCCAGATGCCTGTGGTCTAAGATATGAATCTGACTTCCTTTGGTTAATGTCTTAAGAGAATAAACAAACAGAGAAGCCAAAGAGGCGATAGTTTTGAAGCTAGCAGTGTAGCACAAATATTGCCAACGTGCACTATTCTTGAACAAATTTGAAACATCAATGTTACGAACTTTGGGTTTTATTATGATTTTCATTAAAAAAAAAATGTTGATTTGCGTTTTAGATGTTCATATCACATCGTAAATTTTCCTTGACAATAATGGTTATGAATAAATTTACGGCTCGATTTGCAGAATACATATGATAAGATATTTTTTTAAAACTTACACATGATACGATGTTGCGTTCAGAATTTTCACTCTAAAACAGCTCATGGGTACATTCTCTGAAATAAGATTTTCTTAACTGATGCAATCTGGGGTAAAGTTTCTCCTGGAGTGATGCTATTGCTATAATAAGAAGGTTGGGCTGTATTAGGTTGGGGCTCTCTATGCTTGTTTCATTCTATGTGGTTTATGTCAACTTGTGTTTTTTTGTCATGTTCATCATTAACTGAGCCAAAAACGTAAGACTAGTGCACCAATCTACAAGACATGGGTCTTCCATAAATTCAAAACCTAGCAAAAACCAAATAAAAAAAATTAATTCTATAACAATTCATATAACATTTAGACCAAAAAAGCGAAAAAAAAAAATACATTATCTTATGATATTAATGAAACAAATTACTTGTTTCTCACAATAACCCAAACTATTTCTTGTCGGTGTTAATGATTCTATCATTTTTCGAACTTGTAAAGTTAGAAGTCTTATATTAAACTACTGGTTTTTAAAAACTTTTCAAACACAGAGACCATAAACGGGCTCAATTCCATCCTTCAAGTATCCCCAAAGTATCTGTTAATGTGGTCAAATGCCTTGAATTCGAGTAGTTGGCAAGTAATTCTTACCGGAGAAGTTGAAGTCAATGGACTTGTTTTCCGTAAAGATTTAGATTCCTACTAATACATTTTCTCGTAATTTTTTTTAACGCTCACCGTATATTTGTTGGAGATCCAAACTAGGTAAATACTTCGGGTACTCAACCCTATACTCAATACACAAGATTCTTGCTTATGGCGGGGTCTGAGACACTTAAACCTAAATGGTATTTGATCATGACATGATCTCAGGATGCAATCAAAACATCCGTATTACATTAAGTCCATAAAAAGTTAAAAACCAAGTTTATTCCCCACAATCGATTTAAGTACAAACCCATAAAACATATGAAAGAAGTCTACAATCCAATAGACTGGCATCATGCAAATATGTCTTAAGCAAGAAAAATCAGGAGCGTACATCATACTTCGAAAAAGATTTTAACATCTACCTAGATTTGGGAGCCATGCTGATTTCAAGATCTATGGGAGACAATTCGAGTGATTGCCCAGCTCCCATATCATCTCTCTCCATCCTCAAACTTCTTCCCTGAGTCGTCTCCATTGCCAACCCCTCTTTTAATTCCATCAATACATGACTCATTCTCAGCCTTTGGGTGGCGGTTGATGGTACACATGCCATGGCAGTCTCTAAAATTTTCCAGGCAGAGTTGATGTTGAAATCTCCTTGCAACCTTGGATCCACAATGTTCTGAATATCCCCTTTTGCAAACATGGAGTTAACCCGATCAACTAAGTGAATGACTTTCGTTTCTTTTGTTATGGCAGGTTGGCCAGTAATTAGCTCCAAAAGTACAATCCCAAAGCTGTAAACGTCACTCTTCTCATTTAACTGGAAGGTTGAATAATATCTGCAGGTCAAAACACCTGTGCTTGAAATCCAGCCGGACAATTTCAAAGCAGTATTTCATGGCTATCTAGATATAAGTATATAACTAATAAGGCTGCCTCTCTGTCATTCTTGGATAGGGTTTACAGTCATATGTAGTATGAAGTTGCAATTACCAGAAGGAACAACATGTTCAACCAGTATGAAAATTGAAATTGTGCCCAAGTTTTTATTGGCAAGTTCAGAGCAACATTATTGTATGATTAGAATTGATGTTCTTCTATATAAATTTAGCGAGGCATCAAAACTCTTACTGTGGATCAAGGTAACCATGTGTGCCAACAACAGCGGTTGACACGTGAGTTTCACTTTCAGTTGCAAAAATTCTGGATATCCCAAAATCAGCAATCTTGGCTTGCATTTCTTCATTCAACAAGATGTTGGCAGTCTTCATATCTCTGTGGATTATAGGAGGCTTGCAACCATTATGTAGATACTCCAATCCTAAGATTTAAATTGTCATCATTTAGCTTACTTTGAAGCTCAGGAATCTAGAAGAAAATGACATTAAGAGGAAAGAGAAAGAGCATGCTAGATATGCTTGCTGACCTTGCGCAGCATCCACTGCAATTTGAACTCTTTCTTTCCAACTCAAAACATTTGCTGTTTTCTCTGCAGTCACCACTTAACTGCATTACTTTTGTTGGAAATTTTCTATTTAGTTTCTATTTAATTTTTTTATGGATTCTTTTCATATAAATATTCCTCTTCATTGAATAAAAAAAAATAGAAGCAATCAATTGTTTTTATGGCACAAATTGCCAAATTTCATTGAGAAAATCAAGTACCATGTCAAAAAAGTAATCTTTAAAGTTTTTAACAGCTTGCCTGATCTGAAAAGGGAAGTCAGTAAAGTTAAAGCAAGCAGCATGACTAACAGAAGAATAAAAAGATTCCAGCACCATTCCCGCCATTGACAAAAGAAAATGAGATCGAATAAGATATGCTGCCAACTCCCAAATTGTTTTGTTAAAGGTTATATAGAATCATGCTGAATTCACAGATGCCTAGTTTAGGAAAATGAAAAATCTTATGAACTAAATCTGCATCAGATAGGAAGGTCCAGTGACAATCCCGTCCATTATCTATGGCTGAGCGTTATAACAACATATAATGATACCTGATAGATGCTGCTTCACATTTCCATTAGCCATGTATTCAGAGATGAGTGCCATATTAGTACCTTCATCACAATACCCTATAAGTGTAGCTAAGTTTCTATGATGAATTCTCATCAAGAGTTGTACCTGCAAATCAAATTGACTTACAACTGGTGAAATGAATCTTGTCAACAGACATGCTAATTAAGTGGCAAACATGGTTAGTAACTAGTGAAAAGAACCTCTACCAAACTGCTGTAACATACCTCAGTGTGGAATTCCTTTGTTTGGGTTGATGATGGAGAAAGCATTTTCACAGCAACTTGAGTGCCATCTTTCAAGCGGCCATGATAAACTGTTCCGGATCCTCCTCTTCCTATAACTATTTGAAAGTTGCCGNGAGACAATTCGAGTGATTGCCCAGCTCCCATATCATCTCTCTCCATCCTCAAACTTCTTCCCTGAGTCGTCTCCATTGCCAACCCCTCTTTTAATTCCATCAATACATGACTCATTCTCAGCCTTTGGGTGGCGGTTGATGGTACACATGCCATGGCAGTCTCTAAAATTTTCCAGGCAGAGTTGATGTTGAAATCTCCTTGCAACCTTGGATCCACAATGTTCTGAATATCCCCTTTTGCAAACATGGAGTTAACCCGATCAACTAAGTGAATGACTTTCGTTTCTTTTGTTATGGCAGGTTGGCCAGTAATTAGCTCCAAAAGTACAATCCCAAAGCTGTAAACGTCACTCTTCTCATTTAACTGGAAGGTTGAATAATATCTGCAGGTCAAAACACCTGTGCTTGAAATCCAGCCGGACAATTTCAAAGCAGTATTTCATGGCTATCTAGATATAAGTATATAACTAATAAGGCTGCCTCTCTGTCATTCTTGGATAGGGTTTACAGTCATATGTAGTATGAAGTTGCAATTACCAGAAGGAACAACATGTTCAACCAGTATGAAAATTGAAATTGTGCCCAAGTTTTTATTGGCAAGTTCAGAGCAACATTATTGTATGATTAGAATTGATGTTCTTCTATATAAATTTAGCGAGGCATCAAAACTCTTACTGTGGATCAAGGTAACCATGTGTGCCAACAACAGCGGTTGACACGTGAGTTTCACTTTCAGTTGCAAAAATTCTGGATATCCCAAAATCAGCAATCTTGGCTTGCATTTCTTCATTCAACAAGATGTTGGCAGTCTTCATATCTCTGTGGATTATAGGAGGCTTGCAACCATTATGTAGATACTCCAATCCTAAGATTTAAATTGTCATCATTTAGCTTACTTTGAAGCTCAGGAATCTAGAAGAAAATGACATTAAGAGGAAAGAGAAAGAGCATGCTAGATATGCTTGCTGACCTTGCGCAGCATCCACTGCAATTTGAACTCTTTCTTTCCAACTCAAAACATTTGCTGTTTTCTCTGCAGTCACCACTTAACTGCATTACTTTTGTTGGAAATTTTCTATTTAGTTTCTATTTAATTTTTTTATGGATTCTTTTCATATAAATATTCCTCTTCATTGAATAAAAAAAAATAGAAGCAATCAATTGTTTTTATGGCACAAATTGCCAAATTTCATTGAGAAAATCAAGTACCATGTCAAAAAAGTAATCTTTAAAGTTTTTAACAGCTTGCCTGATCTGAAAAGGGAAGTCAGTAAAGTTAAAGCAAGCAGCATGACTAACAGAAGAATAAAAAGATTCCAGCACCATTCCCGCCATTGACAAAAGAAAATGAGATCGAATAAGATATGCTGCCAACTCCCAAATTGTTTTGTTAAAGGTTATATAGAATCATGCTGAATTCACAGATGCCTAGTTTAGGAAAATGAAAAATCTTATGAACTAAATCTGCATCAGATAGGAAGGTCCAGTGACAATCCCGTCCATTATCTATGGCTGAGCGTTATAACAACATATAATGATACCTGATAGATGCTGCTTCACATTTCCATTAGCCATGTATTCAGAGATGAGTGCCATATTAGTACCTTCATCACAATACCCTATAAGTGTAGCTAAGTTTCTATGATGAATTCTCATCAAGAGTTGTACCTGCAAATCAAATTGACTTACAACTGGTGAAATGAATCTTGTCAACAGACATGCTAATTAAGTGGCAAACATGGTTAGTAACTAGTGAAAAGAACCTCTACCAAACTGCTGTAACATACCTCAGTGTGGAATTCCTTTGTTTGGGTTGATGATGGAGAAAGCATTTTCACAGCAACTTGAGTGCCATCTTTCAAGCGGCCATGATAAACTGTTCCGGATCCTCCTCTTCCTATAACTATTTGAAAGTTGCCGGTAATGCTCACAATCTCAGAAAAGGTAAACTTTCGGGTTTTTGACTTAACTGATCCCTCTTTGCCAGCTTCAACAACCACCATTTCTATGGAAAACAAGACCATAACAATTGCAACAAGCACAAACATATTAAAAAGAATTTTATACATGTATTATCTCTTCTATAAAATTGTGATATTTATGTCAAATTCCATCTCCCATATTTTTTATGGTTTCCATGGCTCAGATTTCAAATGCCATTACTTCCTGCAAATATTGAAATATAGTCAGGACTTGTAACACTGTCAATTTCCTAGCTCTTGCTCTACACCCTTAAAATCAAGGGGAAATTTGTTTAAAATACTTTGGTGGATTTGATTTGCATTTTTATCTGGTTCTGCTCATGCAAGGCGTGATCAAATCTGTTAGTAATAATTTGAAGAAATCTTTTGGGCCAAAAAGCTAGAAAAAAAACTGTGGCCATGTATGGCCCAAAGGCCTAATGACAATCCCACCTATGGTTACCTATCAGGGTATGTAAATAGCTAGTAGTCTATATACAAAATAAGGTTTAATGCAACGAAGAGAACCTATGTCACACTAAAGCTGCAGTAAAGAAACCTACACCGGCCCAAGCTATTACTTCAAATGCCAAATCAGCAGAGATTGTTAAACAACCATTTACTCCAAAAGCTTAAGCTCTTAGAGAGGGTGTAACTTAAGTACTTATACTTCATCACGCCCCCTGACATGCAGGCTAGATTTTGGGCCTAACACGTGAAATTTTTTTAATAATTAGGGTGACAGCAAGATTCGAACACAAAACCTCCTACTCTGATATCATGTTAAACAACCATCTACTTCAAAAACTTAAGATGTTGCAAAACGTATAACTTAAATATTTATACTTCAACAGNAGCTTACTTTGAAGCTCAGGAATCTAGAAGAAAATGACATTAAGAGGAAAGAGAAAGAGCATGCTAGATATGCTTGCTGACCTTGCGCAGCATCCACTGCAATTTGAACTCTTTCTTTCCAACTCAAAACATTTGCTGTTTTCTCTGCAGTCACCACTTAACTGCATTACTTTTGTTGGAAATTTTCTATTTAGTTTCTATTTAATTTTTTTATGGATTCTTTTCATATAAATATTCCTCTTCATTGAATAAAAAAAAATAGAAGCAATCAATTGTTTTTATGGCACAAATTGCCAAATTTCATTGAGAAAATCAAGTACCATGTCAAAAAAGTAATCTTTAAAGTTTTTAACAGCTTGCCTGATCTGAAAAGGGAAGTCAGTAAAGTTAAAGCAAGCAGCATGACTAACAGAAGAATAAAAAGATTCCAGCACCATTCCCGCCATTGACAAAAGAAAATGAGATCGAATAAGATATGCTGCCAACTCCCAAATTGTTTTGTTAAAGGTTATATAGAATCATGCTAAATTCACAGATGCCTAGTTTAGGAAAATGAAAAATCTTATGAACTAAATCTGCATCAGATAGGAAGGTCCAGTGACAATCCCGTCCATTAACTATGGCTGAGCGTTATAACAACATATAATGATACCTGATAGATGCTGCTTCACATTTCCATTAGCCATGTATTCAGAGATGAGTGCCATATTAGTACCTTCATCACAATACCCTATAAGTGTAGCTAAGTTTCTATGATGAATTCTCATCAAGAGTTGTACCTGCAAATCAAATTGACTTACAACTGGTGAAATGAATCTTGTCAACAGACATGCTAATTAAGTGGCAAACATGGTTAGTAACTAGTGAAAAGAACCTCTACCAAACTGCTGTAACATACCTCAGTGTGGAATTCCTTTGTTTGGGTTGATGATGGAGAAAGCATTTTCACAGCAACTTGAGTGCCATCTTTCAAGCGGCCATGATAAACTGTTCCGGATCCTCCTCTTCCTATAACTATTTGAAAGTTGCCGGTAATGCTCACAATCTCAGAAAAGGTAAACTTTCGGGTTTTTGACTTANTTGAGTTTTTGGGCATTTGTTGGTTACTCAATTGGCTGAGTGATTCAATTGAAATCATTCTGCCTTATTCTTTGCTGTATTTTAGAAGATCCATTTCTGGAGTCATTTCACCAAATAATTGGCTCAATAGTTAGTTTAGAATCGTCTACCCACAGTTAGGATTACAGTAGATTCAATTCAATATAATTACACTAATAAATAAGGAATTTGTATTCAACGCAGTGAAAATAATGAAGTGTACCGTTTCAAATTTCAGCAGACATCTTATGAAACACTATACGAATTTAGATGTGCACTCACAATGAGATGATCCTTGGAGGATTTTCATCGCTGCAATGCAAACCCTGCCATGTGTAATTGATTGGGAGACATGGGTCTCCTTGCCAATCTTTTTTCTCCGCTGTCACATTCTTTTTGATGTTCATGATGGCATCAACTGTTGTTGACAAGGGTAAGAAGGATCTCAAGACTCCAAACACAAATCTCAGAGAAAATGAATTGCTAAACAGCTTTTTGAAAACCCAACTTTTATCTTCTTTTGCACAAAATTTGCTCTTTCAAATATGAAATACCTAACTTTTCTATGGTGGTGGGTTGCTTCAAAAGTCAGTGACATGTTAAGTGAAACATTTTTCAGAAACTGAAAAAAAATTGAAAAGGGTAAAAATTATAAAAATGAAAGCATACCATCTTCCTGATTTGTCGGCAAAAGAAGGAGGCTCTTCGCCTGAAGAATTTCCAAGCCATTAAGGATGGGAGGTAGGTCAGAACCCGCGCCCGTGCTTATAGAAAAACTAAGTTGGGCACCTTTGATTGGCCATTTTGAGGTAGTTACGGTGGTTGCCTTTAGGTATTCGAGTTTAATAGGTTGTTCACCTGGGTAAGGTTCACCATTTAAAGAAATATAGAGCTTCCGCTGCGTTCCATTGGGTAGAACCTCAATTTCAGCAAAGTGAAGATAGACATAACTATCAGAATTGGGGTCTGTAGGATTCCATTTATAATCTATGGCATCACCAGCAGATTGTGCCTTGATCGCTGTGCANAATCAGTGTATTAGTTTTCAATTAATAACATTCGCATTACATGGTTGCCATTGATTTCTGAAATGTAAATGAAGATAACCAATAACAGAATGAATTTGTGGATTTAAAAGATTCACAAACCTCAACAACAATGTTTTATCCTTGACTTTTTGCTCTAGAGCCAGGGGGATGACACCTGTGAGGTTGTTTCCCGTTAAATTACTGTCCAAACCAGCATGAAATGAATCAAATGAATATTGTAGAACAAGATCAAGAACCGCAAAATATGTCAGGTACTCATAGCAAATTTATTAATTATTTTTTTATCAGTACACTTACAGCATTTTTAGAAATGGCAGTTGATCTAAAAATTCTGGCAGTGGTCCACTCAAATTGTTGTACGATAGATCCCTGAAGCAAGAGGATCTTTTTATTAAGTGCAGAAATTAATAAGGTATAGAGGGCAAGTGCAGACGGAATCACATATTTAGAGTAATAGGCANAGGATCTTTTTATTAAGTGCAGAAATTAATAAGGTACAGAGGGCAAGTGCAGACGGAATCACATATTTAGAGTAATAAGGCGAAAGGAATGGGGGGAGCGGGAGGAATCCGAAAGATCAAGGGTTTAACACAAGAAATTTGATATAATCAAGTTATTTAACAATGTGGCACTCCCATGTTCTCGTCATACGATGCCAACTGGCACCACCCCTGGTGGTCGTTTTATATGACAGAATAGACCATTTGGGTTCTTACTTTTTNTAAGGGTCTGTTTGTTTAACGGGATTATAGTTAAAAATGTAAGAAAGATAAATTTTTTAAAATTTTCATGTGTTTAGTCAGTATGTATGAAATGAGAAATGATGAAAAAAATAATCTTCTTCTATACTTAGATTTTTTCATAATTAATTAACTTTTTTTTTCTTATAAAAAACATAAAAAATGTAAGAAAGTTATAATCTAAAGCTAACTTTTTATTTTATCCTTATTTTTTGAAAAATCTTTTATTGATTATTAATTTTTTAAAAATTTGATTTGAATTTAGTTAACTATATATTTTGGCCTACAGATATTCGTGATGGTGCTTGCCCTATAATTAGGTTACGAGCTGTTTTTTTTAAAAAAAATTAACTTTTAATTATAATACATTTTATTTTATTTTGTAGACCAACTTAATATAATTAAGAGTAATTTAGATAATTAAAAAAAAATTATAACTATTCTTTCTTTCAAATAATATAATAAAAAAAATTTAAAATTTTCTTAAAAATTTTTCGTGCTAATCAAATATATGCATTAAAATATATTTTTTTAATATGTTTTATTTCATTTTACATTCTATCATTTTACTTTCCCCCATTTCTTTTCTTCTTCCTAACCATTTGCGGCCAAAAGGAAAAACCGACATGCAGAGAGAACGATAAAGATAGCAAATGCTATTCACCTGACTGACTGGTTAGATCCAACATCATATCGGTGTGCGGTTTGTAGACTCGGTCCCAACTCAGCATAAATGGGATTGTCCAACAGCCTCAGTTCCAACGCAGATATGAACGGAATTCCAGAACCAGTGTTTACAAGGCACACATATATCAAATCCGTCGCCGGAACAAATATAATCTCTTCATAGAAGTACGACAGTACCTTCTCCAGCTCCACCGTCACCCAGAAATTAACACCAAGATACAGGTCAAATTTCGGAATCTCATTTTTGCCGTCGTAATTCCCATACATGAAGGAACCTCTTAACAGGTACTTATCGTCTTTGCCTTGGCTAGGTTTTGGCAGGGTGTAACAGTTCTTTATTCCTTCGTCAAAACTTCTCAAGTTCTTTGATCGTCGATCGTAAGGTGCAAGAGTCATTGATTCTGACGATATCGGCTTGTTTTTTCCGGTACCAATGAATTCTGCATCTGTCTGGTAAAATATACCGCTGGATGGATCGGTGTAATCTTCTGACTCACCACAGTCTATGCTTATGAAACCTTGAAAAAATTATTTGCATAGGAGTTAGATAGAGAGAATGAAACTAGTTATGCAAAGGTTTGTCTTCTCAGTGTCGGTGCCAGAGCAAGTTTTGTAGCATTGCTCTTTTTCTTATAGCTGGGGAAAGGGAGGAGAGAGAAGGGAGATGGCACAGAAAGATGGGGAAGGGGGAGAGAGAGAGAGAGATTATGAACAAACATCATATGTGGTTGTACAACAATAGAACTAAAAACATATTAGAAAATTTGAAGTAAAAAGGCAAACTACGTGCTAGAATAAGAACAATGGTATCTTATCCTTATGTCGTAGGATTCGTTAAACAAAAATATTTCTTCAAAGTGGCGTCTCCAGACATTTCAAGGTCATCATTCCTGGTGATTCAAACTCGTAAATTTGGTGAAAAGATACTGGGAACAAAGGGGGGAAAAGAGAGCAAAATGCAAAAGATCATGAGCAACACATAAGGATGGCAAAATTTCCAAAATGATTGACCAGTTTGTATTTTTACCGGAGTTGTTGAATATTAGTTTCCTTCTGGTTTGTGCATGCTGAATATCACCATCTGCTATGAAGGCCTTTGTGATGTAATCATCATTTGTTGCAACATCTACTTCCAAGTTCCCAGAGGTACTCATCATCACCATACTGAACATCAACCACAATATAACAACTGAAGCCATTATTTACGGTTTAGGATAAAGTTTCTAACATGCAGATTGTTTTCTCNTTTGTAGACTCGGTCCCAACTCAGCATAAATGGGATTGTCCAACAGCCTCAGTTCCAACGCAGATATGAACGGAATTCCAGAACCAGTGTTTACAAGGCACACATATATCAAATCCGTCGCCGGAACAAATATAATCTCTTCATAGAAGTACGACAGTACCTTCTCCAGCTCCACCGTCACCCAGAAATTAACACCAAGATACAGGTCAAATTTCGGAATCTCATTTTTGCCGTCGTAATTCCCATACATGAAGGAACCTCTTAACAGGTACTTATCGTCTTTGCCTTGGCTAGGTTTTGGCAGGGTGTAACAGTTCTTTATTCCTTCGTCAAAACTTCTCAAGTTCTTTGATCGTCGATCGTAAGGTGCAAGAGTCATTGATTCTGACGATATCGGCTTGTTTTTTCCGGTACCAATGAATTCTGCATCTGTCTGGTAAAATATACCGCTGGATGGATCGGTGTAATCTTCTGACTCACCACAGTCTATGCTTATGAAACCTTGAAAAAATTATTTGCATAGGAGTTAGATAGAGAGAATGAAACTAGTTATGCAAAGGTTTGTCTTCTCAGTGTCGGTGCCAGAGCAAGTTTTGTAGCATTGTTCTTTTTCTTATAGCTGGGGAAAGGGAGGAGAGAGAAGGGAGATGGCACAGAAAGATGGGGAAGGGGNTTTGTCTTCTCAGTGTCGGTGCCAGAGCAAGTTTTGTAGCATTGCTCTTTTTCTTATAGCTGGGGAAGGGGAGGAGAGAGAAGGGAGATGACACAGAAAGATGGGGAAGGGGGAGAGAGAGAGAGAGATTATGAACAAACATCATATGTGGTTGTACAACAATAGAACTAAAAACATATTAGAAAATTTGAAGTAAAAAGGCAAACTACGTGCTAGAATAAGAACAATGGTATCTTATCTTTATGTCGTAGGATTCGTTAAACAAAAATATTTCTTCAAAGTGGAGTCTCCAGACATTTCAAGGTCATCATTCCTGGTGANTTTTTTTTTTTTTTTTATCTTGGATTGGGGTGGCTCAACGAAATTTGAGATCTAAAATGAAAACACTAAATAAGGGCATTTTTATTTTTAATATTAAGTTTTAAAAAACTAATTTATTTTTAACTTATTATATGAGAGAGAGAGAGACCGAAGAAGAAGGTGATAGTGTTATCGAGAAAAATGTTTTAACTTTTATTTTGTTTTTTACTGGAGAGTGTATTTAATTTTAACTTTTTTTTAATGTTTTTTATTTATTTTTAAGTAGAGAGAGTGAGTAGGGATAAATATGAGTTAATTTTTGAATACTTTTTTTTTCTTTATTTTTTTTTAGGTTTCTAATGTTATGAATTAAATCATGGATCTNCCATACTGAACATCAACCACAATATAACAACTGAAGCCATTATTTACGGTTTAGGATAAAGTTTCTAACATGCAGATTGTTTTCTCCTTATAATCTCAGATTGGGTTCCGACCCTGCTTGAGGAGAGAGAGTGAGCTGACCACACATAGAACTTTATGGTGGTGGGAGAAATTCTTGTTAGCTAGAGATGGAAAAAGGGTGGTTTTAGAATGCATATATGGAGATTAGTTGTCGTCTTTTATATAGAACAATTAGGGATAACTGTGTCCGAAGACATGGTGTAATGTATGTGAAAAATGATAGATTTTAAGGAAAAAAATTTAATATAAATAGTTTTAAGAAGGATGTTAGTGACCGTTAGATGAATTTATTTGAGATAGTCGACTTAAAAATTTAAATTAATAATTTTATTTTATTTGTCATTAATTTAACCGCAAGTGCTATGGAAAACGATCTTGCCCATGTCCCATGGATACTGCCTTGGTACCATGAAATTAAAATTTGGTGCAATATCTAAATTGATATGTAATGGTAAATTTTAGTTTAATTGATTTGTAATTATTAATTTTAAAAATTATAAAACTATAAAAATCATAAAAAATAATACAAAAAAATAATTTTTAGAATCTTGTTTGGACAAGCTAGTTTTTTCTTTGGGAGCTGGCAGTGATATTGAGAGTCAATACGACTTAACTTGTGGATCAATTGCGCAGGTCAAGTCCTTGTTCTGCTATCAAAATGTGGTCCAGGGGTAATTTCTACGACTTTTCAATATTGTATCGAAAGTTATTATTTTCAATGACTCAAGTCAAGTCCTTGTTATACCATAAAAATGTGAACTTAGGGTTGAGGATTAAAATTTTGTTTCAGTTTAATATTTCCGTCATTTAAAAAACATAAATATTTCGACATGTTTCGAAAACCTTTCAATTTGTTTCAAAAATAGAATAAAAAAAAATAAAAAATTTAAGAATTATTTTTTCAAAATATTGGTCGAAATGTACCAAAATATTTTAAAATACTTTTAAATATTTTAAAATAATTGTGCAAATGCATTGAAATATAACAAAATATTTCGAAACATTATGAAACTCTTCGAAGTTTTAAAATTTCGATTCTATCACTGATTCGTTTCTGTCTACTTAAAAACAGAAACGTTTCGTATGTTTCGACAGTTTCACAACGGTATTTTGATCCTTGCGTAGGGTTATTTTTACGAATTTTCGATATTGTATCAAAAGTTATTATTTTCAATGATAAAGTTATATTCGTTTTTTTTTTTGAGGAAGGGGAAGGAGATTTGAACCCTTGACTTCAAGAAGACAAAATTTTTATAAGATAAAAAATATCATTGCACCAAAGGCTCAATAGTATGAAATTATATCCGTTAAAGATAGAATTAAAATAACGTAAGAAAATGCAAAATCAATCATGAAATACAATGTGACATTGAATTTATTCAAATAGTTGTACTTTCTCTTTTACAAATATTACACAAATTGTAATATATCCTTAAAAATTTGTAACTTAACTTTTATGATTAATCACAACATTTTGGGATCGATCATATCCATTATAATTTAACCTAAAAAAGTTAAACCTTTCAATAAAATACCGAAAACGATACTGTAATTCTTGTCGTTCTGATAGGGCCAAGTCAAATTAACCTAGCCGATAAACATTTCGGATTGTGGTCTAGCATGGATACATTTTTCAATTTAAAATTATGTGTGACTGACGAATGATTATTTACAATTCACAATTACATTATATTCATGGGTTTAAAACAAACGTAGTTAGAACAATTATTTATAAATTCACCAATTACCTAACTTGGAGTTGGAGGGCATCCCATTCAATTCCCACCATTGAACTGACTGAAAAGGACCGAAGGTTTAATATTCAATGGAGTGACAGACCCAGAGCTCTAGCCCCAAGCTCGCGAAAGACGGAAGCTACAAGACCCAAAGGGAAGATGAATTGAAAACCCATGCATTGTGGAATTGACCAACAAGAAAAACAAATGAACTGAAAAGGACTAGAAATTGAGGCTAATAAATCAATCAACCTAATGTACGAGTGATTGACGCAAAGAACGGAACTAGGATTTTATCATACGAAGAGTTAAATAAAATAGTTACATAGTTAAAAATTTATTCTAAGAAATTATTGAATAAGTTATTTTCAATGCCAAATTTTTGTTTTTATTAGAATTTATGAAATTGCAAGAATTAGTTTAGGATATAAAATCTAAAATTGATCTTTTTTTTATAGAAATAAGATTTTATTAAATAAATCAAAAAATTACAAGAATCAAAGGAAAAAATCCCATTTTCAACAAATGTATGGCATTAATTCTACACAAAAACCAAAAAACCTATTTCAGTCTACTCAAGGATCACAAGTCTTCCAGCCATCTTACTCAGCTGAAGTCCTCAGCCATCTTACTCTAAGGATTCTTACTTGGCATCGTAAAATTAATTTATGACAATGTTATGGTCTATTTATTCTTTGTTTTACTACATAATACAATGACTATGAATAAATTGTTGTTGTAAATATTACTTTTACGTGATACTATTATAAAAATTAATTATTACAATGTATTATTATGATATATAGCTTTGCCCTTTTCTTTTTTTTTTTTTTTTTTATCTTGGATTGGGGTGGCTCAAGGAAATTTGAGATCCAAAACGAAAACACTAAATAAGGGTATTTTTATTTTTAATATTAATTTTTAAAAAACTAATTTATTTTTAACTTATTATATGAGAGAGAGACCGAAGAAGAAGGTGATAGTGTTATCGAGAAAAATGTTTTAACTTTTATTTTGTTTTTTACGGGAGAGTGTATTTAATTTTAACTTTTTTTTAATGTTTTTTATTTATTTTTAAGTAGAGAGAGTGAGTAGGGATAAATATGAGTTAATTTTTGAATACTTTTTTTTTCTTTATTTTTTTTTAGGTTTCTAATGTTATGAATTAAATCATGGATCTAAATTATTATAATAAAAATTGAGGCCTTCTTTTAAGGTTTAAAATTTAAAGGATTTAAATTTTTTCTGGGTTAGTAATGTACATAAAATTATGAGGCCTTCCAAAAAATTAGAACGTAAAGCCCAAGCTTTTTTTTTTAATGCTGTTGAGCCGCACCTGATCTTGGGTTATAAGACTCAAAAAACCATGTGTCTTAGTGTATAAGANACCACACATAGAACTTTATGGTGGTGGGAGAAATTCTTGTTAGCTAGAGATGGAAAAGGGTGGTTTTAGAATGCATATATGGAGATTAGTTGTCGTCTTTTATATAGAACAATTAGGGATAACTGTGTCTGAAGACATGGTGTAATGTATGTGAAAAATGATAGATTTTAAGGAAAAAAATTTAATATAAATAGTTTTAAGAAGGATGTTAGTGACCGTTAGATGAATTTATTTGAGATAGTCGACTTAAAAATTTAAATTAATAATTTTATTTTATTTGTCATTAATTTAACCGCAAGTGCTATGGAAAACGATCTTGCCCATGTCCCATGGATACTGCCTTGGTACCATGAAATTAAAATTTGGTGCAATATCTAAATTGATATGTAATGGTAAATTTTAGTTTAATTGATTTGTAATTATTAATTTTAAAAATTATAAAACTATAAAAATCATAAAAAATAATACAAAAAAATAATTTTTAGAATCTTGTTTGGACAAGCTAGTTTTTTCTTTGGGAGCTGGCAGTGATATTGAGAGTCAATACGACTTAACTTGTGGATCAATTGCGCAGGTCAAGTCCTTGTTCTGCTATCAAAATGTGGTCCAGGGGTAATTTCTACGACTTTTCAATATTGTATCGAAAGTTATTATTTTCAATGACTCAAGTCAAGTCCTTGTTATACCATAAAAATGTGAACTTAGGGTTGAGGATTAAAATTTTGTTTCAGTTTAATATTTCCGTCATTTAAAAAACATAAATATTTCGACATGTTTCGAAAACCTTTCAATTTGTTTCAAAAATAGAATAAAAAAAA